AAGTACTCCTGTTCTTTTTGCGGATACAGACTAACACGGCTGCTACTCTGAAACTTGTCCTATTTAGTTTTCACACCGCTCTTAAATCTCCTAAAAACCAGAGAGGTGCGCGGCCAGCGAACTATGCCAGAACATCGCCTGCTGCCCGGGCATGAATTCAGGAGCCCTCGGAGGCTCTGGGCTGCAAGTCCTGTGTTGTCAAAGTAACTATCAGAGACAGAAGTGCAAAGCAAACTGGGCACCTGTGAGAGGGAAGAGAGCCGCCCTGTCTGCATAAGTCACCGACCTTCCCCTGGCACAAACTGCCCGCTTCAGTGAAAGAACCCTGCCAGCAACCCCTGCACAAACAACCCCGGCTCCAGCAGGGCGAGGACATTTACAAATGCAATTAATACTCAACGGGAGCATTTAGCTAAACACGCAGCAAGCACAGCGATCTGCCCCGTCAAGACCCGGTGCCAGGATCAAAGTCTTATTTGCACAGCGTGAGGACGGGTCCGAAATATCGCTCATTCTAGTTCTGGTCGCCCTGGGTGTTCCTTGTGTTGACGTTAAGGGTTTCCACCTGCCCAACCTCTGGGGCGATCGCAGGGACGTGGTGGGGGGAAATGTACATCCTGCGATATAAGCAGCCCCTTTTGGAAACTCCCGCCCGAGAAGTTTGCAAAGAGGCGATGAAGTCCAAGCCGTCCCATATACACTCACTCGCACCCCATCCCGCCCCCCACAGCACCCCACCCTGAATGTGCACTCTCCAGACCTGGGCAACACTGCCCAGCAGCGTCAAGAGGGCTTGCACGCGTGGAGAGCGCGTGGCGAGGGGCAAGGTGCGGGTGCGGGGTCTCTCTTTCCCTATTGCGCTGGTACCGTACCTGGAAATGCTTGAAGAAGGCAGATATGCGAGTGATCTGCAGGCTCAGGCACCTGGAGGTGCATCTGGCTCTGTAGACACTGACCGTGGAGAAAGACTCGTCCTGCTTGCGAGCAGCAGCAACCCCGGCAGCTGCAGCCAGGCAGCCCCAGGAAGCCGTAATCCAAAGGAACAGGGTCAGAGACACGGCGGGATCCTTTAGCACCATCGCCGTGCGGTGGGTGGGTGCTGAGGAGAAGAAGGGGGTGCCGCAGAGAGCAAGAGACGTCCGGATAAGCTCCCGTGCACCGATCTGGTGCTGGACTGGACTGGGGGGGAAAACCTCAGCGCTGCAGAAACTAAACAAGAAAGTTCAATCATTCAACTCTCTTCACCCCCCCCCCTTCTTCCCCTCCGACCTCCCCTCCCCAGCACACACCCCTCCCCTTACTCCCAGGAGGGGGTGGGGTGAGGGTGACAGCAGGCTGTGCCATTGGCTGCAAGAAATGGGAGTGACAGCAGAGCCGGGCTGCCTGACCGCAGGCAGGGTACAGAGAATGCGGGGGAGCTGGTGAACTTCTCCGAGGTCCCCTGGACACATACTGTATACACCCTGGGCTGCTGCAACACATTGGAACACAGACCCTGCACAGTAACCTTCTCTCTCTTCCCCCCACCCCATTTACATGACTAGCACTCAGCCCTGCCTACACGGACCCTCAGCTGTTCCTACATAGACACCGCAAACACAGACACCCCTAGTGCACATGCAAACAGACTCAGGCATTCCTAAACACACACACACGGCTTGACGATGCCAGGTGCTGAGCCCTGTTAGCTCCCACGGACATCGCAGGGAATGGAAGACACGTAGCAACCTGCCGGATCTGGCCTTTAAACAGGTACACCTACGTGTCCTCGGATACAAACATGCCTAATGCACCTAGGCAAACACAACCACAGACATCCACAGCCCGACTAAGGCATATAGACCTAAATGGACACACCCAGTATGCACACAGACGCACACATCTTGCATACCCTGGGGTTTGTTGATTTTTCACTGTCAAAACTCACATTTACTTTGTTCTATTGTTAATAGTATTGCTGTGTCCATATGCCTTATTTTTACTTACGAACTCAGATATATTCATTCATTAATGTAAATGAATTTGAGAAATTCAGCTAATGGACAATTCCTCTAAGTCTTCTCTTTGTTAAGGTCTAAAAAAGTGTAGTGAAATTGAAGCTTGGGGTTTACGGAAGACTGGGAGTTTTCCCATAGTAAAATCAGTGCTAACCATTTGTTCCAGGCTGGAGCATGCATAAAATCTCAGCCCATAAAATCTCATCCTAGTGTGTTATTTAAAAATTAATTTTTATACGTCATTAGTCCAGTGCCTTTAGGTAACAACTACAAAATTAAAATGATTAACATCTTGCACTTTTTAAAATTAAATAGCTAAAATACACATACAACAACTATTCTCTCTGGGTTTTTTTGTTTAGTTTGTGTATTGACAGTGCATGCACACAGTACAAAGCACATGCATTACATTATGCATTAATTTTAAAATACTGTATGTAAACTCCAATTGCTGCAATAAATCATATGAATAGAAGGAGCAAATGTATTCTTTCCTAACTGTAGTCTGTGGATTAAATCTCCCAAACTAGGTGATCGCAAGCTTGTATCACTTGACAGAGCTGAGATTTGGGGCCGTTACAGGAGGTGTAAATATGTCTACTGTCAAAATAATTTATAGATTATTATGTCAATGATCTACAGGCTGTTGGAATCTCTTTTGCTGAATATATTTTAAAATGCAGCTAAATACACATTGGAAAAATCTCCTTCAATCAAATCAATATATAACAAGGGCTGTGAATGACCTCACTTATACTAGCTTTACACCAGTGTAACGCTGCTCTCCTCACCCCGAGATTGACAACAGTGTAATGTAAGCAAAAAGCCCAAGGAGGTTATTCTCCCCTGAACACATGCGGGCAACTTATGTCCACAGCAGGCAATACACAAGTATATCAAGGGAGACTCAAACCCTAAAGACTGTTGTTAAGCCTATGAACCAAGGACATTGTTAAGCCTAAAGCAAGGACATTCATATCTAATGCTATAATTTGGTGCTGAGTGTGATGTAAGAAATTGAATAGAAGAAAAAAGAGCCTGGACTAGGTGTGACAATCCACAGGAATTTGGTAACATTAGACACGAGTTTCAGTCAGTCACTTGCAATATGTAGCTATAATAGGGATGGAGGAAAGTCTTCACTTTTAATTTCTTTTTCTGGTTTGAAGTACTTCTGGATCAAATTCTGCCCTTGGGTCACTGGCAGAAATCTGGGGTAACTCGATAGAAGTCCATGGGCCAGATTCACCCTGTGGGTGGCTGGGGAATAACAATTACAAATTTCATCCTGCTGTGCCTGAGGGAGCTGCTGTGGCAGAGGGGGACCGGTCTGATGGCAGTGCTACCACAACCTACCAAAAGGGGTTCTGCAAGGGAGGGAAATTTTAAAAACAAATCAGTGCAGTGTGCCATAGGGGTATATCTACACGGCAATAAAAAACCTGTGGCACTAAGTCTCTATGCCAGGGTCAATTGGTTCAGTCTCCCTGGGCTCTGGCTGTGGGGTTAAAAATTGAAATGTAGGCTTTCGGGCTCGGGTAGCAGCCCAGGCTCTGGGACCCTCCACCCTCACAAAGTCCCAGATCTCAGGATCCAGCTGGAGCCCAAACTTCTACACAGCAATTTTTCAAGCTGACAGCCCGAGACTGAGTCAGCTGACCTGGGCCAAGCACAGGTTTTTTATCCCCATATAGATGTAACGTGCGACCCACCCTCCTCGCCAGGTTTCAGAGACTGAGCTCCAGCCGGAGCCCAGATGTCTACAATGCAATTGTTAGCCCAGCAGCCCAAGGATCGCAAGCCCAACTCAGCTGACCCAGGACCGCCATGGCAGTGTAGATATACCCTAGAAGTCCTGAAATGGAGGATACTTTGGAGATGCACTAAGTAAGCTCTGGAGCTGTCCCAACTACCTCTCCAGAAGACTCCACACACTTTGCAAGCTATGATGGCCAGCCCTGATCCCCTCAGCTGAGTGAAGGCTGTTGGTGGCTTGTAAACTGTGCCCCACTTCTAGTAGACTTCCTATCACTGGAGGCCAACAGCCTGGGATCTACTAGCAACAGTTGGTGGAATCCACTGAATCAACATGCACGGTGGAATCTGGCCCAATCTGGCATCCCAATAGTAATAAAAAAATCATCCCCATTATAGAAATCATGGCTGCAAAAGTCTGGAGCTACAGCCTTACTAGTCAGAGGTGGCTTGGGTCTATCCAATTCAGGAAATGTCTGTTTCTGACCCATTTAGTCTGTTTTAGGCTTGACTAAGAATTCTGCAATTCCTCCGTGACACCCCAAGTCTAGAAGGGAACAGGCAATTGACAAAACCCATTACTCTTGACTGATTAATTATGTTTACAAGCATACCAAATGCTTTCAACTTTTGCCATAATTTTATTAAATAATAATGCCTGTCTGAAAAAATCTGCAGCCATCTTTAATAATCGTATTTGGTGCTCAAATACAACAGGTATGGAGGACAGACAGATTTATTCCCAGTGTTAGTGGTATTGTACTACTAACCCAATCAATGTTGCATATTAAAACTAAAATAACTACATTAAAGTTCATGAATCCTGCTGTTTTTTTGGTTTTATGAAGATTGGTAGCAAAAGGCACAGAATCCTTAATCGTTAAAAAGTTTGTGAATACAGTTTATTCAGTTGCTTGTGTTGGAAAGGTCACAGTTACAGAGATCATCAGGGTAGTCTCTGAATTCCTTTTAAGTGAGGCTGAGTTGGTTGGCACACAAAAGAATGGCTGTTCAATGCCACTAAAACCAAATTCGCACAGAACATGTTTCCCTTACAAGGAGATTAAGAAACTAAAGAAACTCAGGCTCTGTAATTCAAACACTTGGTAAACAAAGTTAGCAGTCAAAAACCTGTAAGGACTAAATATATACCTGATCGTTACAGAGAGATTACATACACATACATGTAAATATATGAATGTGTGTGTCTGTGTGTTATAGGGAGGAAGCTTACTAAGTTTCTTCATGGAACATGAGATTTGGAAACTTTTGAAGTAAAGAAGAGATTGTTTTAATTTATTAAACACACACAGCTTTCAGTCATCCCATGGAATAAAATTAGTAATTCGTTAAAACAAACAAGATTTTCCTTTTGGGTGAATTTTTCTGTTGACTACTGCTAACCACTGTTAAATTTCTGCTTTTAAAAATCCTTTTTCTTGTGAATTGTGTAACTTTGATGCAGTACACCTCTTTTCCTTTTCCACAATCTAAAATATATTGATCTGTTTTTTGTTTGTTTCTTTTGATTATTTTATTCTCAGAATTGTTGGGTTTCTTTCCCCCCAATAAACTAAAAAAAGTCATCACTCAACATTAAAAACATTAAAAACTCAAGCAAAAAATAATCCTTAAAAGCATAAAGCATTGACCTCATGCTACTATAAAAACACAATTAGTCCTTCTTCAGTGTTGTGCTGTGACATTTATGGCTGGCAATGTAAACACTAGCTCTCCTGAAGACCAGCTTCGTGAATGTCAGGGCTGTTTTTTTAACAGGAGACAGCGCCACATACTGGTTATGTGAAGTGAGATCTGCAAGTGACTAATAAAAAGTTATATTGTACAGAATTAATCTGATTTTATGAGTCGCTTTTCATCAATTTTAAATAAACCTGAATGCCTCTTAAGTAATTATGTCTTAATATCTAGTAATACCGACATTAAATACCATGCCCAGTTGGGCAAATAAAGATGATATTGTTTACTTTAACAATATTTGCTGTTTAAATATGGAGTACCAGTATTCACTGATTTGATTTATTATATTAAAGGCCCTGTTCCTGCAGTCTTTACTCAGGCAAAATTCCCATCAGCTTCAATGATGTTACAAACAGAATAATATGATTTAAGGTCAGATAAACAAAACACACTATAGAAGTTCTTTAAAACAGCTCATTTACAGCCATATTTCCCATTTAATAAAAACAGAGAAAGCAAAATAGAAAATATAATATATATAGTCAGTATAATCTCTAAACCAAATGTTTTCCATAGTTTTCCCTATAGTTGTCAAAAGATCTTTCTCAGATGAAAACAATTATTTATTTAATGTAATAACAAAACTGTCTATTTAATCTCCTTTTCAAAAGTGGCACGCTGCTTATAATTGTTCTTAAGGAACTGATAATGAGTCAGCTCTTTTTTTCCTTTCGCTTTACCCTCAATAGTTGTTTGAAGTCCGTCTGTCTCAATCCAGTCTAACCTGACCCACATATTTC